TTAATTAATTTATTTATTTTGTGCCAAAAAACCAATTAATTAATTAAATATTCCTTAGGACATTAGTTGAATTACAGGTGAAAATTAATTTTTTTTTAAATATGGCAATTTTTCTATTTAAAACATTAAAAATCCTCAGGTTTCCATTTTTGCTTATTCAATATCAGAATATTATATTAATTAATTGAGGCTATTTTTACATTTTTTTATTTTATTTTTGGTCTAATTAAATATTTAAAATTAATTTTTAAATAAATTTTTAAGGGGAAAAAAGTTTTCCGGAAGTGCGAATTTTGGGGATTTAAGGCTCTTCCGCGCGTTACAATTCATTCAAAAATGCAGCTTTAGACTTGAAATTTTGCTCATCTATCCCCAACACTATCAACTAGCTTCACAAAAAATTTCAGATTTTTTAGTTCAGTATTTCCAAAGTTATGGGCAAAAAATGACTAAAATACTTTGAAAATTCAAACAAAGACGACTTTTTCGACCATAACTTTAGACATAGTTATCCAAAAATTCTGAAATTTTTAGAATTGTTAGCTAACATCGTTAAGAATATCTGTGCCAAATTTGAAGTCTCTAAGTCGTCTTTCGGCTACGGTATAAACGCTCGCGCCCCCTCTGTTTGCGCCTAAATCGGTATTATTATTATTATTAGCCCAATTAATTTTTAAACTTTTAAAATTTAATTATAATTTTATTTTCTTTATTTTTCTCTTTTTTATGTTACAATTAAGTCATCAAATTTAATTATATATTTAATTTTATTCTTTTGAGTCACCACACAAACGTACTATTTTCACACCCTTTTAAGTGGTTGCCCCTTAAAGATCCAGGCCATGTTTTGCGTAAATTGTAGCCCTCATATTCAAGCTTATTTTGATATTCTCATTAAAAGAGTACAATTTAGACATTATTAGTAGTATTTTACAAAAAATATTAAACTTTAAAAAATTTTAGATCGTGAGATAATTGCCCTTATATGTAGGCTATTGCCCTTATATAGTAACTATAATTTTAGAAAAATTTTTTTTTCCATTTTTTCTCGAGTTGCTAATCTGAAATTATTTTTATAAAATAAAAGACACATTTTTGTGTATTTCTCAAAATTTAAATTAATTTATTATCCCTTTTCTTGTTTAAATTACGAATTTTTATGTAATTAAGGTCACCCACCTAAAGCAAGTTTTTTGAAATTTTCTCCAAGTTTTACTTAATATATAATTTTCTAATTATTTTTGTAAAACAGATCACACTTTTCTGAGTATTTAAAACTTTAAAATTTCCAAAAAACTTATCATCCAACAAAGTTATGATTTTTCAAAGAGTTGTGGTCGCGCACCTCAACCACATCCCTTTAAAATATTTTTCCCTTAAAAATCAACTCTTTCCCTATTAAATTCTAAAACAATTTAGAATATATTTTGACAACCTTTCTACTTATTTTAGTACATTTTAACTATTTTTAAATTTCATTTTAAATTTTAAAATCAACAAAACCGCCCTCCTACCCCTTTAAACATTCTTCTCAATTTTCCCTAATTTTTCCTAATTTTCCCTAATTTTTCCTTATTTTTAACCCAAAATATCAACAATCAGCTTATCCACCTCTAGAAAATATAAAAAAAATTAATTAATTAATTCTCTCCAAAAAACCAAAAAAATCCCCCTACATGGCTACTTTAGGCCACGCCCCCTTTTCTTACTCCCCTCCCCTTTTCCACCAGCCCTTTTAAACATAAATTTTCTCAATTAATTTTCTCTCACTTTCAATTAAATCCCTTTCATTTTTTATTATTTTTAATATTTACGTGAATTCTCGAAAAAAATTTTTTTTCTCGAATTTATTTTTAAAGGTCGTTTGCTGGAAGTGGAAGAAAAAAATTTTTAAAATTAAAAAAAATTAAAGAAAAAAAGATTTCTGGTCTATAACCTTTTATATGGGGAAAAGAAATATTTATTTTTATTTATTTATTGAAATGACGCCAAAAAAGACAAAAAAAATTTTATTTTTATTTTTGGAAGACGCCTGGCATTTTAACTGGAAGCAGGCAAACAATGGGGGAAACGCTCTTTAAATTATTTTTAAATTGCCTGGGGCGATTTAAAAATTTTTTTTGGAATTTTTAAAATCCTTTAAAAAGCCCCTTTTTAATTTTAAAATTAATTAGAAAATGTCAAACTTGAAATTTTAATTTTTAAAGTTTAAACTTGAAGCTTAAACTTGCTTTTTTGCTTGCTCCCTAGCGCCTATATAAATGGGCTTAATTTATTTGCTTTTTGGTCAGTTTATTTTTAAATCTATTTTTTTTCTTTTTAATTTTTGAAATTTTATTTTTATTGATAAGGTGCTTGAAAGAAAAAATTTTTTAAGGGGCTAGGACAAAAAAATTTTTTAAATTTTTTTCTGAAATTTTTATAGTGGTTCCAAAAATTTTTTTTCAAAACATTTTAAAATTTTAAAAAAATTTCGGAAAAATTCTAAAAAAAAATTCAAATAATTTTGAAAAAATTTTTTTTTAAATTTCAGAAAAATTCTTTTCAAAAGATTTTTTTTATTTTTCAAAAATTTTTTCCGAAATTTTCAAAATTTTTAAAACCCTCCTCAACTTAATTTATTTTAATTTTAATTAATTTTTCCTTTAATTTATTACTTTAAAGCTTCTTTTTTACCTCTTTTAAGCCTTTTTTTCTTTTTGACGACTGCACTTAATGCAAATTAAAAGCATATTAAAATTAAAAATTATAAATCTCTCTTCTTTAAAAATATTAAAATCCCCCCCTTTTATCCATATTGCTTCTTAAATATTTTAAAATCCCTTTTAGTTTTCTCAGACTCATTCGAATATTTAAAACAATTTTTTTAACACTTGCGCATCCCTTTTATTCGCTAAAGGATTAAATCTAAAGGTCTTTCAAGTCCTCTAACTTTTCATAAAGTACAGATACAATTTTAAATTTTATGTCATTTGAAAGGGGAGACTTTAAGCTATAAACTGGCCAAAAATCAAATTGATAGCTTCAGGGCAGATAAAGTTATGAATTTTTAAATTTCTTCCATTTATTTTCCGTTAATTTATATGGGTGCCAAAAATTAAATTGACTTGAGGGTTTTCAAAGACCTCTAACTTTTCTTTCAACCAAGATATAAATTATATTTTTATATCATTTGAAAGAGGAGACTTTAAGCTATAAACCTGCCAAAAATTAAATTGATAGCCTTAAAGCAAATAAAGTTATGAATTTTTAAATTTTATGCCTTTAATTCCCCTTAATTCATTGGATGCCAAAAATTAAATTTACCTTAAGGTCTTCAAAGTCCACAGTTACCTAAAGGATTTTTGCGTCATTTGAAAGATGAGACTTTAAGCTATAAAACTGCCAAAAATTAAATTGATAGCTTCAGGGCAGATAAAGTTATGAATTTTTAAATTTCCTCCCTTTATTTCCCCTTAATTTGTATTTAATGTGTTTCTTGACCTCTAATATTTTTTTAAATATTTTTTTGAATGATGATAGAATTCTAATTTTTATATTTCCAGAAAGTAGCTATTTTAAGCTATTAAATAATTAAAAATAAAATAAAAATATTTTTAGTTTTCTTAAAGTTATGAATTTTTAAACTTATGCTTAAAACATCATCCTTTGCGTGCTCTCAACATGTTTCGAGACCTTCAACTTTTTAATGACTAAAGCTATAATTATGCTTTATATATCATTTGAAAGAGCAGATTTTAAGCTATAAAGTACTTTAGGAAAAATTATTTTTAAATTTAGTCTCTTCAAGCTGCGAATTTTTAAAGACTTCAAGTGAGCAATTTTTAAACTCTACCCCAACGCAAATAAAAATTAATAACTCTATTATGCTTTCATTTTCAAAATTAGTTTCTTATGTTATTTTATAGCCCTTATTCTCCTCTATCGTATGAAAAAAAGATCTCGTTTATATCTCTATTTATTAAAAAGTTATTGCCCTCTAAGTCCTTCGCGACTGCCTAGACCTTATAAACATTTAAATTAATTTGTCATAATTTCAGTGAATTTTCTAGTGAATTATCCTAAGTAGCCTTTAAAGCCGATTTATTTTATTAACTTGAAAGCTTTAGAATACATAATAACATAAAAGTAAATAATTTCCTCGAATATCCTCTTTTGAATATATCCCCTTAAATGTCTAAGTTATTAACATTATTAATTTCCATTTATTTTTATTATTCCGGAAGTGTCCTATTTTTGTATTTTTTATCTCTATTTATTATTTATAGACATATTAAATATTTAAAAACATTTTAATATTTTTTGAATTATTAATTCTTTTTAATTTTTGTTTTTTTGTTGGTAAGGGAATGTCTCATACTGCGCGACCGCAACTTTTTAAAAATTCGTAACTTTGTCTAAAGTTGTGATATTTGCCCATTTTAAAGTTTTAAAATATTCAGAATGAGCTGTTCTATTTTATAAAAAAATTTAAAAAATATTAAGTCAAGACAACTTGGCGTAATTCTCAAAAGACTAGCCTTAAGGGGGACGACGCCCATATTTTTTAAATTTATAGGATTTATTTAATTATTAAATAATTTTATTTATCAATACATATATTCAAAATTATGTGTTTTATTTTATAAAAAAAGTTTATTTTATGAAAAAAGTTTATTTTTGCAAAATAATTCTAAAATCACTAATTAAAATTATTGCTCAGCCTGCCCTCAACTTTTTAAAATTCCATAACTTTCTCAAACCATATAATATCCTTTTATTTTAAAGTTTTATTATATGCAGAAAAGTGTGCTCTATTTAATAAAAATAATTATAAAATTTTATTTTAAGTAAAACATTGAGAAATTTTTAAAAAACCAACCTTACCCCCGTTAATTACCGTATACCCTTAATTAAATTAAATTTATTTCTCTCTCCGAAATAAATCTAAAAATAAATTTTAAACATTTTCTAATATTTCAGAATCTTAATTAAATAATAAAATTAAATATCAAAAAAAATAATGCCATCAACTAAAAATAGCAACAAAAATGCCAGCCTTCCCCAAATATCCATTTTTCTCCTTATTTTAAATTTTTTAATTTTTTCCTCCATCTTTCCCCTTCTAAAAGCTAATAGACAAACAAAAATGGCAGATTGGCTTTCCAACAAAAATGTTTTTAATAATGAGGAAGCTGATAATGTTGAGGAACAGCCTTCTAACCCTTCCACCAATTCTTTTATCGAAGACTTTATTAAACCCATTATTGGCCCCATTCGTTCCGCTGCAATCCCCTCACGTCCAAATATTCTTGTTTTGATGGTGGACGATTTAGGCTATGGGGACCTACAAAGTTATGGCAACCCAACACAAGAATGGACACCTGTGGATGATTTAATGGCCGAGGGTGTAAGGTTTACTAATGCTTATGCAGCTGATTCTATGTGTAGTCCGAGTAGAGCTGGGTTTATGACTGGTTAGTTTTTGAGGGGATTTTTTTAGTAACAATTTGAAGGAGGATATATTTGAATATTTTTTTATCCCTTCCCTCCCCCCTTCCCCTCGAATTAAGATTGGGGTTTTCGAGTCGGGCCGTCGTTCGAGTCTTTTTTTCGGACCTCATTTTTATCAGACCGGCTCGATCGAGTCTTTTTTCGGGCCAAAATTCAATGCCCGATTCTATCTTTCGGAGAGCCCCAACCCTAATTCCTGTGCTTTGGACTGAGTGAGGGTGAGATACTTGAGTTGAATACCTCAGAGTAGGATAACTAAGAGTGTCGGAGGTATCGGAGTTGGATACCTCGAAGAAGGGGATGCCCGACTCGATGCCCGACTTTATCTTTTGGACCGGGCGGATCAGGCCCCCAACTAGAGATCGGAACGGGTCTAGGAATTGTCTTTTTCGGGTCAAAATTCGATGCCCGACTCTATCTTTCAAACCGGGCGGATCGGGCCCCCAACCCTCCCCCAAACGTCAAAATCTCTAAATGTCCCATACCCATAATGGAGGCCTTCACTGGAGGTCTTCCTGGAGGCCTTCCCATTCTCAAAATGCCCAATTTCCGAAATGCCCATTTTCTAAAATTTCCAAAAATTATTCAGGCCGTCTCCCCATCCGTCTAGGCATTGTTGGCGGCAATCGTGTATTCCTAGTAACAGATACAGGAGGCCTTCCCCGAGACGAACCAACAATGGCTGAAATGTTAAAATTAAATGGATACCAGACGGGAATGGTTGGAAAATGGCATTTGGGGATTAATGCTTTTAATCATTCTGATGGTACTTATTTACCTGGAAGGAGAGGATTTGACTTTGTTGGATTAAATTTGCCTTTTACAAACAACTGGGAGTGTGACGAAACTAAAGATTATTTTACTAGTGGGCCTAACCCTCTGAAATGTTTTTTGTATAGTGGAGATAAGGTGAGGAAGAGGGAGATTGGTGTTTTGGGTTACGGTATTCTCTCCGTTTAAATTAAATTAGAGAGCGGCGAGGGCGGGATCCTGCGGGGGTTTTTGCGGGATCCGCTCTCGCAATCCGCACATTTTTTGATTTGCGGGCTTTGCGGGAGTGCGGGATTATTCCCGCGAGATTTTGCGGGAGTGCGGGTTTTGCGGGGGTGCGGGATCCCTGGGATTATTCCCGCGGTATCCCGCACTCCCGCAGACGTTTTTAGAAGTTACTCCCGCATGCGGGATCCCTCAATTTCAAAATTTTCTTCTCTCAAAGCGTCAAAATTTAAAAATTCACAATTTCAAAATTCATTTCTTCCCTCCACAGATTGTCCAACAACCAATAAAATTTGAAAATTTAACGGAAGATCTACTCACCGACTGGCGCCGATTTCTCTCAGAACGAGCACTAGCCGATCCAACACATCCCTTTTTCTTCTATTTTTCTTACCCTCACGTTCACTCTACACAATTTGCCAATCACCAATTTAAAGGAAAATCTGAGAGGGGTAAAGAAGGAAGGAAAATTTTTTCTGAAAAATCCGACAAATTTAAGGCCTTTTCGGCGACAATTTGAATGAAATGGCCTGGTCAGTGGGAGAGATTATTAGCGACCTTCGCAAGTATGGACTTGATAGAAACACCCTTGTAGTCTTCATGTCTGACCACGGACCCCATCAGGAGCTCTGTAATAATGGGGGGTCTACTGCTGGGCTGAAAGGAGGAAAGTCTAATAGCTATGAGGGGGGATTCAGGTAATCAGAATAAAAACAGAATTTAAAATCAGAATAAAAATCAGAATAAAAATCAGAATTTAAAATCAGAACAAAATCAGAAAAAAATCAGAAAAAAATCAGAATCTAAAATCAGAATCTAAAATCAGAACAAAAATCAGAAAAAAATCAGAACAAAAATCAGAATAAAAATCAGAATCTAAAATCAGAATTTAAAATCAGAACAAAAATCAGAACAAAAATCAAAATTAAAAATCAGAATTTAAAATCAGAATTAAAAATCAGAACAAAAATCAGAATTAAAAATCAGAACAAAAATCAGAATAAGGATTAAATTTTCAGAATTCCTTTTGCTACGTGGATGCCTGGAACAGTAAGACAAGGTGTTGTATCTAACGAAGTAGTCTCATCGCTAGATTTATTCACTACATTTGAACAAGTTGCGACTTCCGGGAGGAGTGTGAAGGTAAACAGAGTTTTTAAATGTTATTAGTTTCCGGAAAATACTAACCGGAGACTATATATAACCGGAAAACATTTCATTACTTAAAGCAACCGGAAGGTATTAAAACAAATAATAAATTGGGGTAACCGGAAAGTTAATTTATTAATTATAGAAACTTCCGGTTGATAGAATACATATAATATGTTTCCGGTTATATTCCTATTGCTTTTAATTTAATGACTTTCCGGTTATATTTTTCCGGTTATATTTTTCCGGTTATATTTTAATATATTTAAGCTTACGGTTATATTTTACTATTATATAAGCTTCCGGTTAGGTTCCGGTTAATTTCCTGTTGCCGGTCATATTTTAATATAAACTTCCGGTTAAGTTCCGGTTTTTATTAACTATTTCCGGAAATTTCTATTCAAGTTAATTTATACTTTCCGGTTACTTTATTTATAGTTTCCGGTTATTTAATTAATTTTATTATAAACCTTTCGGTTATTTTAAATTTATATCAGAATTAAAAATATCAGAATAAAATAATTAAACTAAAATTGCTTCCAACAGAACTCCGCCTATTTGTCTGACGATTCATTCGATGCCGATAACGACGAATATTACACCCCTAAACGAAAAACTGATGGAATTAATATTTGGCCAGAATTGCTTGGATTCTCAGCAACTTCTTCCAACGAAAATCAAAAAACTTCAAACGATGTGCGTACACACATGCACGGATTGGCTTTAAAAGGATTACCACCACTTAGCGAAAGACGCCCAATATTTTTTTATTGTAATAAAAATTTAATGGCTATACGTTGGGGAAATTATAAAGTCCATTATATGACATCGCCAATCTTCAAAAATTTTACTAAAGACCCTAACTTGGAGGAATTCTGTCCTGATGGAAAGCCGAGGGCTGATTGGTTAGTTGATATTGTTTTGTTGTTGAAAATCAGAATAAAAAATCAGAATTTATAAATCAGAATTTAAAACCAGAATTAAAAATCAGAATTAAATTTCAGAATTTATAAATCAGAATTAAAATCAGAATTTATAAACCAGAATTAAAAATCAGAATTAAAAATCAGAACAAAATCAGAATTAAAAATCAGAATTTAAATCAGAATTAATAATCAGAATTAATAATCAGAATTTAAAATTAGAATAAAAATACTGAACTTATAAATCAGAATTAAAAAACCAGAATTTATAAATCAGAATTGAATTTCAGAAACTAAAATCAGAATTTGTAAATCAGAATTAAAAAACCAGAATTTCCATAATTTATAAATCAGAATAAAAATCAGGATTTATTAATCAGAACAGAATCAGAACCAAATACCAGAACAAAAGTCAGAATTCAGAACAAAATCAGAAAATATAATTCATTAAGTATAAATCAGAATTAAAAACCAGAACAAATAAATCAGAATATTTCCAGGTATGTCAGCCAAACCTGCCCAGAAAGCCAATTAATTCGTCACGATCCTCCACTCGTTCACGATTTATATCGTGATCCCTACGAACTCTACCCGCTTGTGGATACAGGAGATAAAGGGGTCGTGGCGCGTGTTCTAGCTAAAGTTGGACGCATTTTGGTGGAACATTTGGATTCTATTGTTGATGTACCCCCACAATTGGGACATTTTTCAAAAGCTGTTAATCCGGTAAATTTAGAAAAAAATCGGAATAAAAGTCAGAACTAAGTATCAGAACAGAATATCAGAAGATAAAATCAGAACAAGAAAACCAGAAAAGAAAATCAGAAAAATCAGAACAGAATCAGAATTCAGAATTAAGTATCAGAACAAAAAATCAGAAAATTAAAAATCAGAATAAAAATCAGAACAAAACCAGAATAGAAATAAAACAATAAAAATCAGAACTAGATATCAGAACAGAAAATCAGAAAAGAAAATCAGAACCAGAACAGAAAACCATAGAAAAATCAGAACAGAATCAGAAATTCAGAATTAAGTATCAGAACTGAAAATCAGAACTAGAAAAAATCAGAACTAAAAATCAGAATAATAATCATTTTTAGTGTTGCAACCCCCCACTTTGCAAATGCAACTTATTAAGCTCCTCAGCTAATAATGGAGGTATAGACGATTTATTCGAAGAAGACGATTTCTAATTTAATTAATAATTTTAGTTAATTAAAATAATATTGCAATTATTTTAGTTTAATTAATTTTTAATTTTTAAACATTCCCTTCCTTTTAATTTTAATTAAATTTTCTTTTTCCTATTTTTCTTCCTATTATTTTAATTTCAGGGTTGTCGATATTATTCATGAAAAAAAATTTTTTTATAACAGTCGAATCTCTTCCCCCCACAAATCCCTCAAAATTCATCACTCAAAAAAAATTTTTTTTTGGTTGGTCCAAATTGGAGGGAGAAATGCCTAAAAGCGATACCTCCATTCAACCAAACTTACACCCTCTCTTTAGCATAGGACCCAGTCTTAGTGAACGCTTTCCATTCTGTTAGACCATAAACGAGGATCGACTGACTCTTATAAGTATAACTAGAGATCGGACAGGGAGTGTCTTACGAAAACCTTACGAAAAGTCTTACGAAAACCTAGTCTCTCTCCTCTCTCTCTAAATAACCTTACTAAAACCCCCATTAAAAAAATTTTTTTCTATCTAAATAGAATATTTTTAGACATTTTAATTACTATATAGTTATGTTTACATATCCCACACATTTTTCTGATATTTTTAATTTTTTTTTTAATTTTTTTTTAATTTTTATTTTTTATTTTTAAACAAAAAAGAGTCTCTCTACAACACTTATTTGGATACTCCAAAACTTGAAAATTAAAAAAAAAATTTTAAATAAATATGAGAGACTCTTCTTTATTTTCCCAATTTATTCATTAGCCCCAAAAATACTTTTAAAAATTCTTTTTTTATTTATTTTTAAAAATAAAGTTGAAAATGTGTATTTTTTGATTAAAATTAGTTAGCTATTTAGTTAGGTATACAAATGAAACAAATGAAACAATTAAACTTTCCGGAAAAACATTTTCCGGAAATACACTAAAACTATTAAACATTATAATGAAAAATAAAACTTTCCGGAAAATAATAAAATAATTAAATAAAATTTTCCGGAAAACAAATATAAAATTTCCGGAAAGAGAATAGAACTTTCCGGAAAACATTTTCGTGAAAAACATGTTCCGGAAAATAGAATTATATTGCAAAACATATTAAATTAAAACTTTCCGGAAAATAATAGAATAATAAAATAAATTCCGGATTTATTAAATAATTCCGGAAACCTCTTTCTCTATAAAAACACTTTCCGGAAATAAAATAATTAAATATTATATTAACCTTAAACTTTCCGGAAAATAATAAAATAATTAAATAAAATTTCCGGAAAACAAATATAACATTTCCGGAAAGAGAATAGAACTTTCCGGAAAACATTTTTGTAAAAAACAAGTTCCGGAAATAGAATTATATTGCAAAACATTATATTAAATTAAAACTTTCCGGAAAATAATAAAATAAATTCCGGATTTATTAGATAATTCCGGAAACCCTTTCTTGGAAAAACATTTTCCGGAAACAAAATAGAAAAACATTATATTAACCTTAAACCTTCCGGAAAATAATGAAATTAATAAATAAATTTTCCGGAAACCCTTTTCCGGAAATATAATTAAAAATCGTCTTACAATAATAGATATAGAATTACAATTATAGAATTAAATTAAAATTAATATTTTTTTCGATTAATTAGGCACCCAGGGTATTTCTTTTAAATTAGTAATTTTAATTTTTAATCTTATCCCTATAAATACATATTAAATTAATTTAATAGCTTTAGGCGAAAATTGGCAACTAGTTTTTGCACAATTTTCGTTTGGTTTACATTCGCTTGTTGGATGCAAATCTGAGGTTATACCGCGTATACCACGGTATTCTTGACACAAAAATGAAATAGAATTATCGACAAATACGTTGGAGATTGACATTTTGTCGCCAAAATTGGTGTTTAGTGCTGGAAAAATTTAAATTTGTAATTAGTGCTAAAAAAATTTCAAAATGTCAACTAGTCCAAAAAATTTCAAAATGTCAACTAGTCCAAAAAATGTCAAAATGTCAACTAGTGAAAAAATTTCAAAATGTCAACTAGTGAAAAAATTTCAAAATGTCAACTAGTGAAAAAATTTCAAAATGTCAACTAGTGAAAAAATTTCAAAATGTCAACTAGTCCAAAAAATGTCAAAATGTCAACTAGTGAAAAAATTTCAAAATGTCAACTAGTCCAAAAAATTTCAAAATGTCAACTTACATATGACTGAGAGACCAGGTCCATGAAATTTGCAGTTTGTCATTTTAATACTTCTCTGGTGTTGGACACAATCCATTCCACAAGAACGCCAACACTTTCCAAATCCTTCAGCACAAAATCCAGTAATTGTTGTCTGCCCAGCGCCAGCTTGAGTGAAAATCTTTAAAAAAATAATAATTTAATATTTTGAAAATTAATAATTTTTATATACCTTATCTGGCGCATTTCGTGCTCCTCCACCTATTATATTGTAGGTTTTGGGTGTTGGATCCGCGCTATTCCCCAAGTCTGCACCATGATAGCAAATCTTTTCAAAACTTAAGTAAATAAATTAATATAAGAATTAAATAAACCTTCCGGAAATATTTTTCGGAGATTAAATTATTAAATATTAGTTTCCGGAAAATATAAAACTTTTCCGGAAAATATAAAACTTTTCCGGAAAATATAAAACTTTTCCGGAAAATATAAAACTTTTCCGGAAAATATAAAACTTTTCCGGAAAATATAAAACTTTTCCGGAAAATATAAAACTTTTCCGGAAAATATAAAACTTTTCCGGAAAATATAAAACTTTTCCGGAAAATATAAAACTTTTCCGGAAAATATAAAACTTTTCCGGAAAATATAAAACTTTTCCGGAAATTATTCCAACTTAAAAATAAACTTACAAAACATTTTCCAATATACATGATCCTTTACACCAAATTCCTCTCGCCGCATCTCCAATAATTACATTTTTTACATGACCTCCATCTTCTACCTCTATTATATTCTTGCCATTAACTGATCCTGGAATAGTGCAAGCTTTACGTAAGGCAGAAGTTGCAACAAGACGAACATAGCCAAAATCTTTTGTCCCGCTAACTGGGCTTAAATTGGAAAAAAATATTTGTTAAGTCTGCTTAAATTTTAATATTAATTTGCTTCAAGTTTTAATGTACTTAGGTATATTTCTGTGTTCTCTTAATTTTTCAAGTTTAAAGTTTTAAAGTTTGTTAAAGATTATTTAAAGCTAGATTATTATTTTAAGATTGATCTTAAGTTTTTAAGTTTTAATTATTAATATTTTCAAGTTTGTTCAAGTTTATTTATTATTATAAGTCTAATTTTAAATTCTTAAATTTTCAAGTTTTATTTATTTTTAAGTTTGATCTTAAGTTTTTAAGTTTTCAAGTTTATTTAAAGTTTATTTATTGCTTAAAGTTTTAATTTCAAGTTTTATTATTAAAATGCTTCAAGTTTTAATTATTAATATTTCAAGTTTGTTAAAGTTTATTTATTGTTTTAAGTTTGATCTTAAATTTTCAAGTTTTATTTATTTTTGCTTCAAGTTTAATCTTATAATTAATTAAATATTAAAACTTGTTTCAAGTTTTATTTTTATCCTTACATTGTAGTGCTTTGCTGAATCGTTTTTGTTGCTGGAGGAAACTTGCAGAAATAATCTGCTTCACATTTTTTAATTAATGAAGCAATAATATATAAAATAATAAAAATATTAATAAAATATTTTGGAAGCATTTTTATTTTTTTTAAATTTTTTTTGAAGCTTTTTAGAAATATTTAATTGTGTGAAGCACAGCAATTCCTCCTCCTCTTTTAAAACCCACTCATTTGCCGATCAAAAATTATTTTAAAAATCACATGAAAAAAGAATTTTTTTTTATTTTGAATAATATTTCTCAAAATTTTAGTTTGCTTCTATAAATTAAAAAACCCCACCAATTTATTTAAAAATATTATTTAATTAGTTGTTTTAATTTCCTGCTATTTACTAATTCAATAAATTTTTTTTCTAACTTTTTGAAACTTTTTTTAAAAATAAATAAAGAATAGTCTTAAAAATTTATTTATCTGCATAGTTTTGAGACTGAAAAATTTTAATTTAAATTTTATTAATTTTTAAAAGAGAGGCAAGAAGGAAATTTGGGACAAAACTTGAAGGTAGAGGCAGTGTTGGTGTGTGACTAGGATGGATTTTCTCTTCAGCTAATCTTAAGTTTTCAAGTTTTATTTATTTTTTTAAGTCTAATCTTAAGTTTTCAAGTTTTATTTATTTTTTTAAGTCTAATCTTAAGTTTTCAAGTTTATTTATTCTTTTAAGTCTAATCTTAAGTTCTCAAGTTTTATTTATTTTTTAAGTCTGATCTTAAATTTTCAAGTTTATTTAAAGTTTATTTTTTGCTTCAAGTTTAGTCTTATAATTATAATTAAATATCAAAACTTGTTTCAAGTTTTAAAATTTTAAAATTTAAACACTTTTTAAAATTCAAAATTATTGCGCTTTTTAGGCCCTCCTCCGCCAAAAATAGAAAAAAAATTTGAAAAAAATTTTGTCTGACCTTCCTAAAATTTGTCCAGGGTGCTTTGAAAAAGGAAAAAATCTGGCCTCTTGACCCTCCAAAATTTCAAAAAAAAACTGCGGCGCTGAAGAAGGAAAACTACTCAATTCAGTTAGTTGAACTTCTTCCTTTTCTCCTCCAACCCCTCCCTCCTTCCACCTTTCCCCCTCTCCCCCCTCTCTTGCAAACCCTCCCCTCTCTCCTCTCCTCACCCCTTTCTCCAAAAAAAAATTTTTTTTAATATCCCCCACTGATATCCCCAAAATTGCTTCAAAGTTTCCTTCCTTCCCTTAATTCTTCAATTTAAAAAATTTTATTTTTACAAAAAATATTTTTTCTATAAATTTTCTTTACTATCTTGTACAAAGAACTGCGTCAATTGCCAAAAAAAATTTCTCTTACCTCACAAAATTATTTTTTTTCAAATTTATATTTATTCACCCACCCCTAACTTCCTTTCCCTCCTCTCCATAATTAATTTTTATTTTCCTCGGTTCAGCTTCAAAAAAATTTTTTTGCTGGTTCTATAGGAGAGAGAATAAGCCTCTAAAGCGTTAGAGTTATCGGAATAGTTTTTAAACGTGGATTTTTAATTTAAAAAATTTCTCCGACATATGAGGGGTGGAGGGGAAATATTGGAATGATTGTTATGAGACTTGTAGAGAAGAAAAATTTTTTTCTAAAAAAACCTCCAAGGCTATTGACGAGACTTTTTCAATATCCGCCCATCTTAAGTTTGAACTTCCCCAATGGATAATATTGAAGGAGAAAACCTCGTCAGCCATTTTTGAAATGAAAATAAGCATTTTAAACTGCTAGTACACAACCTTGTTTCAGTTCTTTTTAGCCCTTGAGGAACCGTGCGGACTTTAATAATATATTCTGTTTTAAAATGTGGATATCCCAAGTCGTCAATTATCCCGTTTTGACGGTATAATAAAATTCAAAATTTTATTTTAAACACAAAAAAGGATCAAAAATAAAAGAAATTTTTCATTATAATTAAAAAAAATTATTTTTTTAATTTTTTAAATTTTATTTTTATTATTTTTGCTTCAAATTCAGGTATAAAAAATATTTTTTAAATAAAATTATCAATTAAATAAATTCTCCAAAATTAATTTTTTTCAAACCACATGAGGCATATATTTCCTGCCTAAAATTAAATAAATATAAAAAAAATTTTTTTTCTCTTAATAAAATTTAAAAAATAAAATTTAAATTTAAGCCTAAATAAATAAATCTCATTAAATTTTATTTTTTTTTAATTTTTAATTTTATAAAATTGCCAAAATTAACTATAGAAAATTTTCATAGTAGTTTATGCTTCTAAAATTGCCAACTTGATTAAATATTAATTTAAAAATTGAATTTTCATTTAAACTTGAAGCAAATTTTGGGTGGTAATAAATATACACAGTGAGGCGTTATTTTATTCATTATTCGAAAAAAATTTAAAAAAATTTTTTAATTTAAAAAATTAATAAAAATGCTTCAAAAACATTTTATTAATATTTTTATTATTTTTTATATTATTGCTTCATTAATTAATAAATGTGAAGCAGATGATTTTTGCAAGTTTCCTACTGCAACAAAAACTGTTCCGCAAGACACTACAATGTAAGGATAAAAACAAAACTTGAAACAAGTTTTGATGTTTAATTAATTATAAGATTAAACTTGAAGCAAAAATAAATAAACTTTAACAAGCTTGAAAATAATAATAATTAAAACTTGAAGCAATTAAACTTGAATTAAATAATTATGTAAATTAAACTTGAAACATTTTAATAATAAAACTTGAAATTTAAGATCAAACTTAAAAGGAATAAATAAAACTTGAAAGCTTAAGATTAGACTTAAAAAATAAATAAACTTGAACAAACTTAAAAATATTAATAATTAAAACTTGAAGCATTTTAGTAATAAAACTTGAAACAAGTTTTTAATAAATATTAATTAATTATAAGATTGAACTTGAAGCAAAAATAAATAAAACTTGAAAACTTAAGATCAATCTTAAAAAATAAATAAACTTGAACAAACTTGAAAACTTAAAAAACCCGAGAGCATGAAGAGATATCAAAAAAATTAAAACTTGAAGCAAATTAATGATTTTTACCCCAAAATTTGAAAATTGTATTTTAAGCACAGTTAGCGGAACAAAAGATTTTGGCTATGTTCGTTATGTAGCAACAACCAAATTGCGTTCTGAATGTTCTGTTGATGCTTGTGCTAAAGCTCCTAGTTTAATTGAGGTAGAAGATGGAGGTCATGTAAAAAATTTAATTATTGGAGATGGGGCGAAAGGAATTTTGTGTGTAGGAAAGTGTACATTGGAAAATGTTTTGTAAGTTTATTTTTAAGTTGGAATATTTTCCGGAAAAGTTTTAATAATCTCCGGAAAAGTTTTAATATTTTCCGGAAAAGTTTTAATAATTTCCGGAAAAGTTTTAATAATTTCCGGAAAAGTTTTAATAATTTCCGGAAAAGTTTTAATACTTTCCGGAAATGTTTTAATACTTTCCGGAAATGTTTTAATACTTTCCGGAAAAGTTTTAATAATTTCCGGAAAAGTTTTAATAATTTCCGGAAATGTTTTAATACTTTACGGAAAAGTTTTAATACTTTCCGGAAATGTTTTAATACTTTCCGGAAATGTTTTAATACTTTCCGGAAAAGTTTTAATATTTTCCGGAAAAGTTTTAATAATTTCCGGAAAAGTTTTAATACTTTCCGGAAAACTTATTAATTTAATTATATTTTTATCATTTAATTAAAGCTTTGAAAAAACTTGCTACCACGCTGCTGATTTAGGAAACAGTATGGACGGAACCCCAAAAACTTATACAATAATAGGCGGAGCAGTTACAAATGCTATAGACAAAGTTTAATAAAAAAAATAATTTCATTAAATAAATTAATTAAAAGGTTTTTACTCAAGCCGGGGCTGGCCAGACAATAATTACTAATTTTTGTGCCCAGAATTTTAGTAAAGTTTGGCGTTCTTGTGGAATGGAATGCAATCAACATACTCGAAGTGTTAATATAACAAATAGTAAATTTATGGGTCCTGGACTTTCGATTATTTGTAAGGCTTAAAATAAATTAAAACTTGAAGCAAAAAAAGTAGAAACTTTAATCAATTAATTAAATAAACTTTAATTTTATAAACTTGAAGCAAAACTTGAATTATGATTAATAAATTAAGCTTAAATTAATTTCAAGTTTTATTTTTTCCGGAAAGTTTATTTATAAGTAAAACTTGAATTGTCTTAAAACTTGGCCAATAAATTAAACTTTGAAAGTAAACTTGAATTAATAATTAATTAAAACTTGAAGCAAAACTTAAAAAAACTTAATTTATTAAAACTTAAATAAATTAAGCTTGAATTAAGTTCAAATTTTAATAATTTCCGGAAAGTTTATTTATAAGTTAACCTTGAATTGCCTTAAAACTTGAAACAAAACTTGAAGCAAAACTTGAATTATTTAAAACTTGAAGCAAGCTTCTATTTATTTATTTTTAAGCATTAAACACAAACTACCACGACTCTATGTCAGTTTCAAATATTCAAATAGACGGACAAATATGCTTTGGGTGTCAAGAATATAAGGGAATTGAGGGAAGTTCGAATTCGATTACACCCCAGGCCCAGTGTAAACCAACAGAAGAGTGCAAAAAAACTTCTTGTAATTATGCTCAGTCTGCGTTCAAGATAGGTGGAGATTATCAAGACTGCATTAGTGGGTTGCAACGATCTGGAAAAAAATAAGATATTTAATTATTAAATGGAAAATTCTTTCTTTCTCCCATTCTACTCATTGCTTATTGTATCCTCTTTCTCTCCGATTCCCTTCTAGTTTCTAACCACCCTTTAATTAATACCAGGGTTGCCGCCCGAAACTTGAAGCCAGGCATTTTTTGTACCGATACCCGAAAAGAAAATTTTATAACCCGAAACCCATACCCGATATTTTTGCCAACCCGATACCCGTACCCGAAGATTTTTTGTACGCGCGGCAACACTGATTAATTCACTAAAGTATCCAACTTTCTCATTCGACTCTCTTAGTTTTCCCTCTCTCTGAGGTATTTCACTTCCCTCAGTTATTCCATAGTTTCACTTATCACCCTTCGATGTGTCCTATTCTTCGAGGTATCCAACTCAGATACCTCGGAGATCCAATTCTGATACCTCTCACTCTTTTAGGTATCCCTCTCTCCAAGGTATCCCACTTTCAGTTATCTCACCCTCACCCAGTCCAAAGCATACTAATTAGGGTTAAGGGCCCGTTCCGAAGGATCAAGTCGGGCATTGAATTTTGGCCAGAAAAAGACCTGGTCGTTCGGTCAGATAAAAACGAGGCCCGAAAGGAATGACTCGAACGTCTGCCGACGTCAGACCCATCCCTATAAGGGAATCAAGAGTGGATTACCTTGGAGTGTCTATTGTATTAACAAAAATATTCCAAAATGTCGACTATTGTTAACAAAATGTCAGCTATTTTTAGTCATCTTTAAAGTTATATTTTTAGTCATCTTTATTTAATTTTATTATATAGAAATTTTTCCAGAATTTTTTTTAAAAAAATAAATATACAAAGGGAACAGTTAAACAAACTTTAAAATAGAAGGGAATATACAGCTCTCGTTGAGTCAAAAAAATCTGCAGAGGGGTTTACGTGGAGGATAAACAAACAAAAAATAAAAATATGTGTATAATTTTTTTCTATTTATTTTAGTTTATATTTTTTTCTTTTATCCTCCAAAAATTTTTTAAAAATATTTTTTACCATCGTATAAAGCATGTCGATAACCTATTGCCAATTTTGGCTTTTCCCTTGACCGCCACCCTTCCCCCAAATTCCCCCTGACCCCCCCCCCCCCCCTAATTCCCCTTGACCCCCAACTCCCCTATCCGTTAACTAACCAATTTTTAAAATCGTCTCTTATATAGAGGTGTCTCTTATATTGGGGGTGTCTTATAGGGAGGCCTGTCTGCCTTTTACCTTATAACGAGTGTCTCTTACATGGAGGGTTCCTTGGGCGATTTCCCCCAGTAGCTAACCAATTTATCGTCTCTTAAATAGAGGTGTCTCTTATATCGGAGGTATTGGTGTCCATACATTTAAATAATTTTTTAGCATTCTAAAAGAATGGAAAATAAAATTACTTGGGATCACTTTGGAAATAAATTCCATATTTATCTTAATCAGAATGACATGTTGCCCGGAAACGATTTAGTTGAAATTTTGTATGGAAAGGCTAGAGAGGTTCTGCCCGAATTTAGAGGGCTGTTAGCCTGTGAGGATGAATTTGGACATGAGGTTTTTTGGATTATAACGAAAACCTCTATATAATCGACTTCCTTTATAAGGCTATATAGGAGGTGTGTTATGTGAAGGAGTCTTAGGATTAGAGTTGCACGAGACCGAGGATCAACAACGCGGGAAAAGCCGAGTTCGAGGTCGAGGGGCAAATTTTGGCCAAGGTCCGAGGTCAAGGTTCTTGGCAAAGAACGAGGTTCCGAGACCCGAGGCCGGTTAATCCGAGACCGAGATTGCAAAATGGGCGAGGACCTCGGTCTCGGCGAGGCCTCGACCTTAGGATAAAGGTTATTCGGGAAAGTATGCATGCATTATGCTGTGGTTACATAAAAGTCGATGTGCGTCTTGCGACAGAAAATAGCATTGAAAAGAAGGAGAGACTAAAGCGCGCGCGACTTTTCCCTCCTTATTTCCCAGTATCTTTTCTATCGCAAACGCACGCGATTTTTATGTTACCCTGACATTAAGGGAGTCTGTAGGGGAAAGTGACAGTCTACTGTAGAGAAGGTACACAAAATAGAGAGGTAACCTATAGAGAACTGGACGTGTGGATGGATAGACTCTCTCAGTTAGCCCCCTCTCTCCCTTTCCACTTTCCAACCTCTTAGAGCAAGATTATTAAACGGGATCTCTCCACCTCTTCCTATCCGATCTCTCACCTACCCCAAACCATTGTAGATTCCGAGCTATTTTTATTTTGAATTTTTAAAGATTTTTCTGAATAACGATAACCAATTGCGTTCAATCCTCGCCCAGAGAGGCAACCGACTTCGAATACATACAACTCTAACAGGCACGACTCCGAGTCATTTAGCGGCTTCCGATTTTTTTGAAGGAAGTATGGCAGGAGACAGAGAAGTTCATGAGAGGGAAACTGATACTAAAAATGTAAGTAACCATAGAAATCTTTAAATATTTTCCATTAGTTGACATTTTGACATTTTTTGGCGTTCTGACCATTTTGACATTTTTTAGATAGCTGACATTTTGACATTTTTTGGCTTTCTGACCATTTTTAAATTTTTGTGGCCTTTTGAAAGTTTTGACTTTTTGACCATTTTGATTTCTGACCATTTTGACATTTTTTGGCCTTCTGACCATTTTTTAATTTTAATGGGCTTTTGACATTTTTAAATTTTTATAGAAAAATTGGCGTTTTTAAATATTTTAAATTTCTTAAACTTTATTCCAACAGAAAACAAAGCCTCTCCCTTCCGGCAAACTAAAAACACCAGTAACAACCACCAATATCTGGCAATTTCCCATGTTTATTAGAGGAAGTTGGATTGGACCAAATAAATTTATTGGAGGTGGATATTGGGGCGGAGTAGGCCCTATACCTTCTAATCGTTATTGGCATACTGCTGCTGGTGGTAGACCTCCTTGGTGAATTTTTTGAGAGAAAGAAACAAAAAATTTTTGAGGATTTTCAAGGGTACATCCCGGCGCGCTGCCTTAATGGCGCCTAGCCATAACTTGCTTCAAAATTTCCGAATCTTACCAAATTTAGTATTAAACGATTGCTCTCATCGAGCTAAAGAGATTGGTACCAAAATTGTAAAGGGCCAGAAATTTTCCAGCAAGTTATGGCTCTGCGCCGTTATGGGCGCGCGCCGGCGTGTCCCATGATTTTCTTCTTTTTTAAATAGGAAATTTTGTAACAGAAAAAAAATTTTTTAATTAACAAAAAATTTATTTTCTTAAAGAAAAATAAATAATGTGAAGGAAATTAATTAAATTTATTATTATTATTTACTTACTTATTAGAATATTTTTAAATATGCTTTTATAATATCATTTTTTATTTTTATGACAAGATTAAGTGAGAATGAGAGAGAAAATGAGGGGAAGGGTGTGGGTGACAAGGGCGTAGCCAGGGGATCTATTTCAAGGGGCTAACATTGGGTGTGCGCTAAAATTTTGGCGTTTACCTTGGCGTTCTCTGCCTTGGCTACGCTCTTGGTGGGTGAGGGAATAGGGGGGGATATCTAAATCTAGAGGTTAGAGAAGTTCGAATTTTTGAATTTTTTAACATTTTGACATTTTTAGGATTTCAAAAAAAATTTTTTTCCAAAATTTCAAAAAAATTTTCAAGAAAATTTTTGAAAAAAATTTTCAAAAAAACTTCAAAAAAAAAGATTTTCAAAAAAATTTCGGAAAAATTTTCCAAAAATATTTTGAAAAAAAATTTCAATAGGCATAGAAAAATTCAAAAAAAAATTTCAAAAAATTTCCAAAAATTTCAAAAAAAAATTTTTTCCAATTCGAACCCCCAAAAAATTTTTTTCAAAGAAAAACAAAGCATGAGAGAGAGGTAGGTAGAGAGGCACGAAATTATAATCAATGAGAGTAAACAGAAAAAAATAAACATTTTCTTAAAATTATTTATATATTTGTGGAGAAGAACAAACCCAAACGAGAGAAAAAAAAATTTTTTTTAATTTAAAATTCAGCGATGATAAACACGCGAAACAAGCTTTGGCTGTGAGTTACTAGGCCCAACATTTGTCATTGATCCAATAGAATTTACACATTGACGTTGTTGTTTTTGAACTATCCAATCGAACATCCAGTCATACTTGAAAATTAAAAAAAAAAAATTTTTTTTTGAAAAATTTTGAAAAAAAAATTTTCGACCCCCCCCCCCCCCCCCAAAAAATTTTAAAAAATTTTTAGCTAAAAAATTTTCAAAATTTTTTTTTTGAAAAAAACGTTTGGACAAAAATTTTTTGACATTTTTGGTAATTGAAAATATTTTTAAAAAATTCTTAAAATTTTTTTTTGGATGTTAAAATGGAAAAAATATCAAAATGTAAAAAAATCGGAAGCGCCAAAAAAAAATTCAAAAAAATTTTTTCCATTTTGACATTATAGATTTTTTAATTTTTTCCAAAAATTAAAAAAACGTCCAAAATTCCCCTCCCAAAAAAATTATTAAAAATTTTTTTTGAAAAATTTCGAAAAAAAAAAATTTTCGACACCTCAAAAAAATTTTTCAGAATTTTTGAAAAATTTACAAAAAAATTTATATTTCGAAAGATTTTTTCCAAAAATTAAAAAAAGCCAAATACTAATCCCCTGCCCAAAAAAAAAATAAAAAAACCTCATATTTACAAGAAAAACAGAGCCTCTGAAACGGCTTACGCAAGTGATTATAATCTGGATCTTGTTCAAAACCTAATTGACGGCAATATGTTAAATACATTTTGAATTCTTCGGGATATCCACGACACAAATTTTCAATTGAAGTTGACATTTTCTTTAAAAAGAAAAATTTTTTTTAATAAAAAAAATTTATGTAACCCCAAAAAATCCGCAAATTTTGTCCGCAAAAATTTTTTTGTCCGCAAAAATTTTTTTATCCGCATAAAAAAATTCTACAACCTCAGAAATTCACTCTATTTGTTTATTTTACAAATTTGAATATTTATAAGGCAAAAATAAATCATTTATCGACAAATGGATTCGAACCCGAGACCCTCAATTTTTGTTACATAATCCACCAGACCAAAAAACAACTTTTTTCAAAAGAAGTTTTTCTAGTTTGCGGACAAAATTAGCGGACTTTTTGGGAGGCATAAAGGAAAAATATAATTTAAAAAAAAATTAAAAAAAACCTTTTCACTAATTCTCTCATATTTTTGCTTTGTATTGTTAGCTACCAAACCTTGCCAACTTTAAAAAAAATAAAATATAAAGGCGGAGTGAGAGAAATTTAAACTGATTCTCCTCTACACAACAAGAAAATAAGGGGAAAGAGGGCCAGAATTACCAAAAAACACAATTTTTAGGTAGTAAAACCCTTCGAAGAAACCCCCAAAAGTAAAAATAAACAAAAAAAAATCTCACGAACTTCCCTTCAAAAAATGCCTAAAACTGCTTGAAAATCTTTAAAATTAATCACAAAAATCCCTCCTCTCTCAGAAAAAAAATTTTTTTAAAAATTAAAAAAAACTAAACGGCAAACTTCCTCGATTAAAATACATCAGAACATAACCCAAAGATTCCAAATCATCACGACGAGACAATTCAATGCCTTTATGAGCATTTATAGAAGCATAACGAGCCGTTCCAGTCAACGATTTTTTGTCTCTATAGGGAATGTGTACTTTTGTTCGAGGATTTTTGAAACGCTTGGCTAATCCAAAATCAATCATAAACACAGTTGTTGAATACATTCCGAGACCCATAAGAAAATTGTCTGGTTTTATATCCTTTAAAAATAAAAATAATTTTTAAAAAAAAGGGGTGTTGAGAGGAGAAAGAAACGTAGGATGGGTGGTAGATCCTGGGAAAATAATTTTTTCTGAACCCAAAAAGAATTTTCAAAGAATTCTTAAACGGTGGTTTGGATTAGGGATGACTGATTGAGAAAAAAAACACGAGATGCTAGTTGACGGATTCTAAGAAAATTGTCTGAACCCAAAATTTTTTTTAGAAAAATCCGGGCATTTTCCCTGTCTTGAAAAAAGGGATATGACAGGTTAGAAAACTTCGAATCTGGTTTTCAAAAATTATCTTCGGATAAGGTTTCGGATACAAAGAACGTCCGAGACCCATCCCCGCCTGGATCAGCCCCCACTTTTGAATTTTCCCGGGGTCTATTTCTCTTAAATTTTTCCCTTTTCTCCTTAATAAAGGGGCAATTTGTCCAAAACGCCTTAAAATAAAAAGAGAAAAATAAATTGAAGGGATAAATATCCCAAAAAATTAAAAAAAAATAATAATTAAAAAAATACCCGATGAATAAAAAAATTATTGTGCATAAATTCAATACGCGTAATCATCTGTTCGGCAAGCATAAGAACTGTCTAAAATTTAAATTTTTTATTAGATTATTTAAAAACAATTAATTGGAGGTTTTCAGGAGAGGAAAAGTCGAGTATCGTGATTCAGGTCGAAAAGAGTCCATGTTTCGAATTTTGAATAACCCGGGCTATCCCTGGAAGCATTGCTTCATTAAAATAATCAAAGTGGGATAAAATGTCATCTCGGCCTTCAAGTGGGATAGAATGTCACATGTCACCCCAAAACCCTTCACTAAAAGGATTGCTTCATTAAAATAATCCAAGTGGGATAAAATGTCACCTCGACAAGAAATTCACATTTGAACGGCCAATTGACCCAAAACCCGTCCCTGGAAACATTTTTCCGTTAAAATAATCCAGGGGGGATAAAATGTCACCTCGACTAAAAATTACCATTTGAACGATAATTGCCCAAAACCTCTCCCCAATTAATTGTTTTTAAAAAATAAAACCTTCAAAGAAAAACGTCGCTGACAAATGTTGAACAAATCCTCCAAAGAATGACCCAACAAATCCATCACAATGCAATTATAATTATTTTCAACCCCCGAATACTGTATGCGAGGAATTCCAACACCAGCAGAAAGAAGGGAATAAACCTTGCTTTCATATACAAGTTGTTGGTGTCTTGCCTGTAAAAAATAATTAATTTTTTTAATTAAAGGGGTAGAAGATTGCCCCTGCTTGGGAGTGGAAACAGGAATAAACCTTGCGTGTTTCATTAAAATAGTCCGAGTGGGATAAAATGTCACCTCGAATAAAAATTTGAATTCAATACTCCTGTTATTAGACGGTACGCTCGGTTTCGTTTATCGCGGGTTCCTGACCCTCGGTTTTCTTTTTCGGGTAGGTAACGAAAAAAAACTTTATAATGGAGAGTGAAAAAAATCTCCAATATAATACAAAGTAGAGAATAGGCTTGTGGAGTTTGTTGGGAAAGTCCAGAGGAATTCTTGAAAAGCTGTAAAAGGAGGAAGGGTTTCTTAAAGGGGAAAACTCTTATTTTCAATAGGAGGGAGGAAGAAGTGTTTGCTGTGGAGGACGATAACACCCGGGAAATAAAAATTGGTGAATGAAGTGGGGGTGGTGCACACATCGGTAGGGGAAGCACTAACCATCTTATTTTAGAATAGGGAAAAGCAAATAGTTATTGGTTAGAATGTCATCCCCGTCGTCCCTCTGCTCCGCCCTAAAAGCCATGAAGAAGTTTTTGAAAGAGCTTGAAAATTTCCCGCATTATTGAAGGTCTAATTCGGCCCCGTTTAATTAAATTCGGTATAATTCGAAGTAATCCATCGAGCTCAGGACATTTCTCCATCTCAGGACATTCTGGGCTCAGGACAGATTGTGAAAGGAGAGGATGCCTGCGGGAACAAGTGGAATGTTAACTAAGGGGTGTTCACAGCAAAGGACGTCCTCCTCTAGCTGTTCAACTCTCCTTCTCCTCTTCCAAGTATCCGAGAGGAAGGCTACTCCCCTTAAGTTAAGGAATGTTTGCTGGGTTCAGAACAGAAGTGAGAGGAGAGGATGCCCGAAGGAACGAGTAGGGATGCTAACAGAAAGTTAACGGTGGGTAGGGGTGTTCAAGGAAAGGACGTCCTTCTCTAGCAGTTCAACTCCACTCCTCCTCCTCTTCTAAATATCAAAGGAAGGCTACTTTCCCCCTATTAACGCTGGGATCAGGAGCTCAGGACAGATTATGAAAAGAGAGGGATGTCTGTAGGACCGAGTGGAGTCTTCACAAAAAGGGCGTCATCCTCTAGCTGTTCAACCCTCCTCTTCCAAATATCAGAGGAGGTTTCCTGGGCTCAGGACAGATTGTGCGAGGAGAGGACGTCCTTCTCTAGCCTGCCTGTAGGAACGGAGTGTTAACGGTAGGGGGTGTTCACAGCAAAGGACGTCCCTCCTCTAGCTGTCCTCCACTCCTCCTCTTCTAAATACCAGAGGAAGGCTATTCCCCCCCCTATTAACGCCTACCCCCAAACAAATCCCCAACAAACCTCTCATCAAAAAAATTTCAAAAAAAAAATACATGAATATGCTCCATTTTTACAGCAACTTCCTCTCCAGTTTGTAAATTAATTGCCGAAAAAATCTCCCCAAAAGATCCACTCCCAATTTTTCTTTTGATTTTGTAGCAATCGGCAATGACAAAATCCTTTAAAATAAAAATTAATAAAGAAGTTCAAAGTTTATACGTTAGTTCCTCTGAGTGCCATCAATTACAATTGAGAACTAATTTAATTTAAAAAATCAAAAGAAATTTTTGTTGGAGCAAAGCTAAAAAATAAGAAAATTTTACAAGGAGAGGCTGCGAGGTGTCCAATCCAAAAACGGCTGATCTGCCAACAAAATCAACGCATTATTTAAAGCCAAATTTTGGGAATCTTTGGAGGGTCATGGCTTGGCCAGATCAAAAAACGGGCAAAAACGGCTCAAAATCCTTGCTAGAAAGGGCACATTCTTTATTGAATGAGCCCGGTCTCGACCGTTTTTAGGTCGGATACCTCGCAACCTCTCCTTGTTAGATTAATTTAAACAAAATAGAGAAGGAAATGGGTTGTCAAGTGTAGAGATCTAGCTGGGTCTGGACCAAGGACTGGGTTTTCCTGGACTACAGGCCCAGGATCTGGCCCAGTTCAATAAATCAAAACCAGGAAATTGTTAAGGCTGATCAGTATTGAGTCTAAATAGGGAAATATTTCGTTTAAAAAATTCGGGGCCCCGAGCGGGTTCGAACCCACGACCACCTAAAAACCTTAATTGAGATAATTTTTTGACCGTACTGGGGTTTTCCTGGGCCTGGTTCTTCTTGGACTATAGGCCCAGGATACGGCCCAAGTCAATAAATCAAAATCCTGAACCCAGGCTTTTCAAAAACCCCAATCTCTATTAAACTCTGCTAACGACAAAAAGAGAAAGAAGAGCTCGAGATGGGTCTGGGCAAAAATCTGACAGGCTTACCTCTACCTTTCCTCTACAACCTTACAAGTAGGGAACGTCAAATCAACATTTTCTTAAGGAAAAAAAGTTGCCCTTTTTTTAAAACTTTTTTCTAAAAACATAACGCCAAAACAAAGTTAATAATCAACGTGACATTAAATCTCAACTTTTTTAAATCTCTTTTTCTCTGCTTGCCATTATATTTCCTCTCTCTTTTTCTTTAATTTCCATTCGACGTAGTCTCTCCATTTATGCTGGGGTATTTTTGCAAACCTCTCAAAATGTCCAACAAGCTAATAATTCGCAATTTGTCGAACTAAAGTTAAAAAGTGAGAAAACGACAAGTCGGAAGGGGTACATCCCGGCGCGCGGCCATAACGGCGCCTAGCCATAACTTGCTTCAAAATTTCCGAATCTTTCCAGATTTGGTATCAAACGATTCCTCTCATCGAGCTAAAGAGATTGGAGCCGAAATTGATAAGGGCCAGAAATTTTCCAGCAAGTTATGGCTCTGCGCCGTTTTGGGCGCGCGCTTACTTGGGCGTGTCCCTCAACATTCTTCCAAAAATTAATTTCAGTTTTTAACTCAATTTAGATGTTGCCGATCATTCAAAACCTTTATCTTACCCAAATTTTTCTTCAAAATTCAGTTCAAATTCAAAATGTTTTCTTCAGAAGGTTTTCTACCCGACTACGACAGAACAGATTTGTGTGGTTTTCTTTAAAAATTATTTTCAAAAAATTTTTTAGGCTAAAAAACGCTCAGGATTTGCAAACAGATTTGACAAAATTGATGTTTTGGCGCTAGATGAAGTCGTACAACCTCAAAAGGTTCCACTTGAAAAACATGTTAATATTGAGGTTTTTATTTAAATATATTTGGAAATTTGCGGACAATTTTCTTGCGGACAGTTTTTGCGGGTTTTTGTTTTTGCGGACAATTTTCTTGCGGACATTCTTTGCGGATTTTTCTTCCCATTTTCCCTTCTTTCTCCTATAATCAATTTATAAGGAAATGGGAAGCGAAAATATGTAGCCTTTTTTAAATAAAACTTTAAAACCCAAAGACTAGCTCCTTTAAACAATTCTGGCAATGAGAAGAGCTTGAATTCATGCGACTAGGGTTGTCAGCTCGCTCGACCCGAAACTCGAAAGATCGAGCGAGCCGAGGCTTTTCAGCTCGAAAAAATGCACCGAACGTCGGCTCTAATCGAAACCACTTTTTGCGGACGTCTAATGGAGAGCTTTCATATTTTTCACCATTCATTTCCTTATTGGATTATCTCGAGAAAACGAGGAAGATTGTGAAGAAAAAGTCCGTTAGTGATAAATGCCCGCAGAAAATAAAAATCCAAAAAAAATTGTCCGCAAAAAAATGTCGCAAAAAAGTGTACGCAAAAAATTTGTCCGCAAAAAAATGTCGCAAAAAAGTGTCCGCAAAAATTGTCCGCAAAAAATGTCCGCAAAATTTGTCCGCAAAAAATGTCCGCAAAATTTTTCATTTTACATAACCTCATTTTTTTTAAAGTTAGAAGGTGTCCAATCTTCCCTTTCTCGTCAAGTTATATCCTCAATTCTTGATCGATTTGCAAGAGATGTCAACATTAGGGATTTGGCTGCAACACAAAATATAACCAAAAATATTTTTCAAAAGGCTTTTCAAAGCTTCAGGTTTTCTTTGGATTTTTATAAAAATTAATTTTTTTTTTGAAAAATTTAAGAATGGCTTGCTGTTTGGGTCAGACAAGTTTGGATCCTCGTCTTCAAGTGATTTTTAGTGATATTATTAAATATGGTTTGTTTATTTTTTTAATTTTTAGGACTGGGGATGGGTCGGGTTGGATTCTATATTTTGGATTTGGATCAAAAAGTAGTTTCGACTCAAGTAACCCTCTCATAAATGCCCTCCCTGAACCAAATTGGCCTGATTCACTAGAAATGATGGAGTCAAATCAGAGAGCGGACACAAACAGAGAGTTTTGCGGACATCCGCAAAAAATTTGCGGACAAACTATATACTAGAGAGTTGTTATCGTGTTGTGGACGTTGTCTGGCTAGGATGAAGCCGGAGCCCGACGAACACGTTTTTGTTTTTTTATAAGAAACTAGGCCGATAAGAGCACCAGACTCTTAAAATCCTTGTTGAGGACGTTGGCTAGCTTGGGATAAGCCTGAACCCAACGTCCACAACATATCGTTTAAGTCTCAAATTAGTAGCAAAAAGACTCATAAATCCAACCAAAATTTCCTCTCAAAATTACTTTTTTAGATCACAGTGTCGACCAAATTTACCCTTATTTTCTTCGACATGCTCACAAAGTGTTTCCACATTTGGAACGAATTAATGAACTTCGAATAATTTCTGATTTAACTCATCCACACAATTGGTACCCTTTGGCTCGTGAAATTCATCGAAAAATTATTTTTCATGCAGGTTTGTGGTTTTTTGAAAAATTTCTGAAAAAGTCCGCAAAATTTGTCCGCAAAGTTTGTCCGCAAAAATTTGCGGACAAAAAATTTTTTCAATTTTTCAAAAAATTATTTTTCAGGCCCCACAAATAGCGGCAAAACTTACGAAGCTTTGGAAGAGTTTAAAAAGGCGAAATCTGGAATGTATTGTGGGCCGTTGCGGTTATTAGCCTTTGAAATTTATGAACGAATTAATAAAGATGGTAAGAAAATTTTTATTTTTTGATACCAATTATTTGGGATTTCTAATTGTCTTTCCTTTTTTTTTGGGTTATTCTCTTTATTTTTTTTGTTTCTTCCCCTAATAGGCTGCAAATTTTATCCGCAAATGGCTTGCGGACAGAAAATGTCCGCAAAAATTTTTGCAGACAAAAAAGTCCGTAAAATTATTTGCGGATGTCCGCATAAATTATTTGCGGATAAAAAAGTCCGCAAAAATTTTTGCGGACATAAAAAAAGTCCACAAAAAATATTTGCGGATAAAAAATCCGCAAAAAATTTGCGGACAAAAAAAAAGTCCGCAAAATTATTTGCGGATAAAAAATGCCCGCAATAAATTTTATTTTAAAAAGGTATTCCTTGTGATATGGTCACTGGAGAACAACGCCTATTTGCTCATGATTCTGAAACTCCAGCTGCCCATTGTACCTATACGGCAGAGATGGTGCCAATAGATGATAGAAGGGATATTTGTGTGATAGATGAAATACAAATGTTGAGGGATATTGAACGTGGAACAGCTTGGACTAGGGCTTTGCTGGGAGTTGCTGCTGACGAGGTTAAAATTAAAAGTTTTTCAAAAATTTTTTACAAAATGGTAAATATGTCATAATGCCGAAAAATACCAAAAAATTTCAAAATTTGCGACAAAAATTGTCATCCGCAAAAAATTGCGGACAAAAATTTTCATACGCAAAAAATATGCGGACAAAAATTCTGATCCGCAAAAAATTTGCGGACAAAAGTTGAAATCCGCAAAAAATTTGCGGACAAAAATTTTTTGATTTTTAAAAAAAAGGCATGCCATGAAAATGTTATAATCTCAAATTTCTTCAAAATCCCAAAACGCCAATTTCCCCAAGAAAAAAAAATTTTTTTAGGTTCATTTATGTGGCGAAGAGGCAGCAATAGACCTTGTATTAAAATTATTAGATCCAATTGGTGAACATGTTGATGTCAGAAAATATGAAAGGAAAGGAGAATTGGTTGTAATAGATACACACGGATTAAGAGATTTGAATGCTGTGGAGGTTTTTTTTATTTTTTTTGAAAGGAAAAAAAAATTTTTTTAAAGGATGGGGATTGCATTATTCATTTTAACAAGCAATCAATTTTAAAAACTGCTAGAACCCTTCTACATGAATATGGCAAAGAATCAGCTATTATTTTTGGTGATTTGCCGCCTGAAACAAAAAGGGAACAAATTGAAAAGTTTAATGATCCAGAGGTTTTTTTTATTTTAATTTTTTGGGAAAAAATATTTTCGGGGAAAAGAGGTAATTTCTCTTTTTTGAGTTCCCAGGTCCTTGTAATTTAAGCATATTTAAGTATTATTTTTGGCACCAGTAAAAAAAAGAATGAAGAGTTTTTTGGGTGGAATTTTTCTTTAATTCATTTCAGCTTATTTTTAGAAATAAATCATTAAAATTAGAAATCGAATCGGGACGAGATCTCGAACGAAAATCTTGATTATCGAGATATCTCGTACGATTCTCGTTCGACCCTCCCAGTTCGGTTTCTAATTTAGAATTTGTTTTTGGTAGATATTAAAATTAGGGGGAGAGAAAAATGAAGAAAATATTCTATT